ACTCGGCGAGTACATGCCTGCCTCCTCGTCCCTGGTCCTCACTTGACTCACTGAGTCAACCCTATACTCCCCGGGTCGTTACAGATCGCGAGTCACGGGGCAACCCGACTCGACTCGTCGAGTCCCTTATGGACTCGGCGAGTTCCTCCCATGGAAACTCTCAAAAGATCTCTTGAGGTCAGATCTGCTTCACCAAACAGTAGATCCATCCTTCTAACATTCAAAAGTCACGTAAAGGTGCAACCTTTACGTGCATGCAACCCATATCAAGCCTCAAATGGAGAAATATCACTAGAAATGGCAACCTAGTCTCCAATTGCTTATTTGCTTGCAAAAAGCTGGAAGGTAGTGACTCTATGGACCTCTCAAGGTCCAGATCTGATATCATCAACAAAAAGGGAACCTCATACTCACTAGATCTTATAAAAAAAGGGAGGTAAAAACCCTAAAATCATGAAATCTATCATATCAACACGAAATAGAAGGGATTATACCTCCAGAGACAATATCTCAAGATGATTAGCTCCAATCCAAGCTCCCTTCACGTTCTAGATGGATCCTCTCTTCTTTCTCTAGCAAAATCACCCCAAAATGAGATTATAAGCCCTTTCTTGCACTCAAGCCTTCCTCACTCTCTCTAGGGTTTCTTTGGAACAAGGTGGCCTCAAATGATGGCCATAAGGGCCTTTAAATAGGGCACAAGCCCCGAAAATTAGGGCTTTATTAAACAGCGCGGACTCGCCGAGTCCACGCATGGACTCGCCGAGTCTCTTCATTAAATCCAGGCTGGCAGAAGCGCGATTCCACTCGGCGAGTCTGAGCGCCTACTCGCCGAGTCCCTTTCTAAAATTCAATAAAATACTTAAAATATGATACCTGGGTATCCGGATGTTACAGGTGACATGGCTACTCAGGTTGACTGACACGTGTCCAAAAAGGGGTGGGGCTGCGTGAATGACTTCGGGCGCATGTTATGTGCGATGTGCGTGCGCGCGTGACGTTTTTCAGATTTTCAAAATTTCCTAACTTGTTCATACGAGCTCATCTTTTGACATTCTTTATATCCACAAAAAGCTCTCGACGAGATTTACAACTTTTGTTTAGACTTCGTCAGCTAATTTTGATTTACTTTTTTTTCACACAAGCTTAGACTGTGAAGCCTGTATAAAATGCATAACTTTCTTATCCAGAGTCTATTTTCGACTGTCTTTATATCGTTAAACTCGTATTAACGAGATCTTCAATTCTCGTTTAGATTATATCGTGTAAAAATTGACCGATCTGAAATTCGATTAATGAGTTGTACACTGCTATGCCGAATCTTAGAAAAATCATAACTTCCTCTAATGATGTCAGATTTAGTTGTTCTATATATATGCACAATCTCAGTTTAACGACTACCACGACTTTCATTTAGATCGCTTAGGCTAAAAACTAATTTATCAAAATTTTATTTTTTACGATACACAGAGTCGTGCATGTTTAATGGTGAAATTCGAAGAAGTATAACTTCTTCATATGCAGTCGGATTTACACGTTCTATATATCTACGAAAATTATATCGATGTTTCCTACGTGTCTATGATGATTATTTTAGCTGAAGAATAATATATCTTTATTTCGTATTTTGTTATAATCTAGAACTATAGTAAAAATGGGGTGTTACATATAACAAATTTTATCTTATTTAATTAAAACATAATGAACGGTCCTCGTGGTTTTAAAAGATGATTTTTTCCTCACATGCCTTGGACGTGCTATGACTCAACAAACCAAACGAGACGATGCTAGCGGTAAAGACTATCTATAAATTTTTTAAAACCATGGTCCCTTCATAAAACCGAAAAAATTAGAACAAAACTTGATATGTTGAAAAACCGTAAAAATCATTTATAAAGATAATCTTAAAAATTGTTCGTTTTCGAAACTTTTTGTTTGGCTCCTTTACAAATAGAATGGGTTGTGTTATTGTAAAATTCTCATATTGGGGCTAATAGTATTGATATTTTTAGTTACCTAAATTTGAAAAATAAAATAAATCAAATAGTTAACTTTATTAATTATGTATTTAAAATAATAATAATAATAATATTGATAAAAATAACTATTTTATTTATTAGATTGAATTAGAGGTGTTCACAGTCTGGTTTTTTCAGTTTTTAGGTCAAACCGAAGCCAAACGTTACTAACGGTTTTTGTCAAGCAAAAACCGAAACCGAACCATTGAAAATTTAAAATCGAACCATACCAAACCGTTACTAACGGTTTGGCTCCGGTTTGGTTTCACGGTTTGGGCTTTTTAAGCCCAATTTAGTCGAGCCCATTAAACTAATTTAGTAAAAAACACCTACACTATTAAAGGTATTAAGACAGTAAAAATTCAGCCTAATATTAAAGCTGCAGTATTAGAGGTATTAAAACAGTAAAACACGGCACTATTAAAGGTATTAAAACAATAAAAAAAAACTGCACTATTAAAGGTATTAAAACAATAAAAATTCTGCCTAATTTAGTAAAAAAAAAAACTGCACTATTAACGGTTTGTTAAAAATACTGCAGTATTAATGATGTCAAAACAGCAAAAAAACTAGCAAAATAGTAAATAAAAAGCAGTAAATGAAAATATCAAATATTATTCCATTACATTAAATATTAGACTAATACACACAACCTACTAAGCTGTCCAAAACAGCAAAATTGTTGTCCAAAAAGCACTATCAGCAAGCTCACTTCCAAAATGCTATCCACTTCCAAAATGCTATCCAATTCATAAGCTTTTGCTGTCCAGAAAAGTCAATATTAAAACATCACACCAACAGATAATTGATGTTTTGACATGAAGTCCATGCATTAGTTGTAAGACAAACAGATTGTGAAGATTTTCGTAAAAGCTCTTTCAACTTATTCTTTTCATCCACATATAATTATAAGATATCTCTAGCAATTGTAATCCGACTCGGTAACTCTAGCTCGGGTCGAACTACACTACAAAAATAACGAAAACCTTCTTTTTCAACAAAGTTAAATAGTAGTTCATCAATAATAATCATTTTAGCAAGAGCTTGTTTACCCAATTCTTTTGTAAAACGACCACATTGTAACTTTCCATCCTTACCCTTTCCAACAAAATTTATAGTTGTTTGTTTTTTATTTACTTGACATTTAAGTGGATCAAACTTGCATACCTTTCTCAAGTGGTTTAACATAGCACTAGTACCATTCTGACTTAGTTCATACACATAGCTTTTCTTACAGTGAATACATGTGGTGTGTGCTCCTTCAGGTGGAACTGGATTTGGTTTGTTGAAGTGTTTCCAAACAAGAGACTGTTTTCGTCCCCTTCCTTGGTTATTATCAGTAGCACCTCCATTTTGCTCCACATGAACATCATCTACATCAATCTCTTCCATATCATCGTCATCATCAATGATGTTCACAGGTTCACTAATTGGAATACTGATGTTATCTTTATCCATGTAAGGACCTGAAAAAAAAGGGCAATCAGAATTCAGAATTGTGGACTCACTGAAATCAGATTAAGAGGTGATGATTCTTAGCAACAGGTTTTGAAAGAAATAAAAAGTCAACAACTCCTTTCTACTTTTTTTTCGTTCGATGTTTGATTCTGTTAAAAAAATCAAACTCACAATAATACGAGAGGTGATTGGAAATCGAAATCCAACTTGCACATAATATTATAAGATTATCGATTGAGTGTAACAACAAGTTTAGAAAGAATTATAATGAGAATAATGAATAGAAATCAGGTGTAGATGGATGGTAAACAAATCAGTTCAGTTGATTCAGAACATATCAGCATACCTTATCAGAGAAGGAGCAACGATAGAGAAACAAGAGGTGTAGTCGGACACTCGGACCTGCAAACGGAGCTGGAATCGGAGCTGTTGCGGGGGAGGCGGCGAGCTGTAGTCGGAGGGAAAACGAGTGGTGTCGCAACTGGAAACGATAGAGAAAACGAAAGAAACGGAGCCTTTGCGTCTTTGGCTCTATGCAAATTGCAATTACTCGATTAGGACAAGCTGAAACGAATCAGTGAATCACGAATTTACGATTGCTTGGAGGTGGACAATCAGGACTATCAATTTGGGCTTCATTTACCAATTAACAAATCATAAAAGAAACTACAATTGGGATGTAATAATTAAATATTGTGGGTTTTAAAGGTTATTATTTGTATATAAAAATTAATATATAATACAATAAAATACAATTACATATAAAAAAATTAATTAATATATATACAAATCCTACGGTCCGGTCCGATTTTTATACGACTTGAAATCTTAAAAACCGTAAGCCAAACCGTTCAATATGGTTTGAAAAGTTCGAAATCGCAAGTCAAACCGTAAAGAAAAATACAAACCATAAAACCAAACCGATGACCTGTTTGGCCAGTTTCACGGTTTCAAATCGAACCGTGAACACCACCCCTAGATTGAATGGAGAAATTTACATTGTATTAAGATTAAATCCTTAATTTGGTAAAAATGTAAAACTAGGGTTATTGGTTAATTACATTTAAATCATATTAATTTTTAAAAATCGTTATTCAGTTTTTATCTAATATCTCTTTTAATCAACCGACAGTTTCCTAACCTTGTACATTATCATCTACAACTTGTAAACTATGTTGTAGAAATTTTACGTTACTTCGGTTTTGTCATTTTTAGTTTATTTTGTTTTTTTGCTGAAAAGGACTACTACTTGTATTTATCTTCTTATATAACTGTTCAACAAACTACCTTCAAAGCAAAACTCCCCCACAGAAATCAAGGTGAAAATATCTCTCTAAATTTTGGTTTGTGTTTCTTGCAAGGTATCCTTAGATGACAAGTTGACAACACTCTTTCACAACTCTCCCTTTTGTCCTACTCAAGAGACTCATAAAGATCATCACTAGCTCATTCTATAAATACAATATACATATTCAAAAAAGAACAATTCATAGCATCAAAAAACGTAATCAAGTTTCAACAGCAATGGAGATTAAGGTTGAAAACGCGGAAGATGAACAAGCTCCTCTTCTTGCAAACAAACTTCTTCCCGAATCGGTAGAGAAAACCCTGATACAAAAAGCCATCAGCCAAACATTCGAAAGCACTGCCCACTTAGCGAATCTTTTACCCACTGGTTCGGTTCTTGCTTTTCAACTCCTTGCGCCCATATTCACAAATCAGGGCGACTGCGACCCTGTGAGCAGGGCCATGACTGCTGCACTTGTAGCTCTTTGTGGGTTTTCGTGTTTTCTACTGAGTTTTACTGATAGCTTCATGGATGGAAATGGTAATGTATGTTATGGGTTCGCGACAACACGTGGATTATGGATCATTGATGGGTCGACAATTCTACAACCCGAACTTGCAGCTAAGTACAGGCTGAGAATCATAGATTTCATGCATGCCTTCATGTCACTTATGGTTTTTGCAGCGGTGGCTTTATTTGATCAAGATGTTGTGAATTGCTTTTATCCATCTCCATCTGATGAAACGACAGAGCTCCTCACGACACTGCCTGTTGCATTTGGAGTCGTTTTCAGCATGTTGTTTGTTGTTTTCCCTACACGACGCCATGGAATTGGGTTTCCCATTAGTACCATTTAACACCGATCCAGACCAATATAATGTTAATCGTGACATATACTGCTACACAGAAGGGGGATTGAAGGTGGTGGCATATGGGTGGCTTGGTAACATGTTACAATCAAGTTTTTATTTATGGTTCAAAAAGGTTGGGGTTGGGTTAGATAATATTCTATATAGCTTTGTTTGTTTAATTTCTATAAACATTTAATGATGATATATCCACGAAAGATTTTGATATTTCCACTCAAAAAACTATATTCTGACAATTATACCCTTATATATTTATGAGAGATATTTCAACAAAAGATTTCCTTGTTTTCAAAAATTAAATGTTCAAAATTGACAATTATGTTAAACTCATTATATGTGACCATGTTATGTTATATTCTAATTTATTAATTTATACATATTAAAAAAATGATAATTATACCTTTTATGTTTCTTTTCTTATTGAATACATCAGCTTCTTTCCTTTGGTCATTCATCACAGAATCATTTGGGTCTGAGACATGGCTTCTTTCCTTTAGTCATTCATCACACAATCATTTGGGTTAGGGAGTATTAAAAGTTGAATAAAAGTATAATAAACGTGTTAGAAGAAATAAAACTACTGCACAATAGTTTGAATGTTTTTGGGCGTAATAATGTATATCAAATATTCAAACTACGCATATGTTATATCATCACGCGACCAGTTTGAATGTTTGACATAGATTAGTTTGAATAATTTTGTTGGATAGTATTTTATATATTGTGATTTGATATACACTAAGTTCTTTTTTTTAATATATATATTAAGTGGTTAATTGTATAATAGTTTTATTTCATTAATATGTTTACACACTCTCTTTAAAAAAAATAGAATTACTAGTGTAAAGACTAAAGATTGAACAAAAAAAATTAAGTATTAAAATAGTGGTTACTTAGGAACTTCTAATCCAACGGTGTCAAGTGTTGCTCTTCTTACTTAAGATCCATGGTCAAAGTCTTCGTTGACATATAGATGAATTAATGAGTAGTTTAAGAGTATATTAAATCTATTGTTCAAAAAAAGTATTAAAATGAGGGTTATAAATGTTAACAGAAGGAAACCGATTTAATGAGTAAAGAAAAAAAATGTAATTAATATTTTTTAAAAATATTTTAAAATAAAAGATATAATTTTCAAAATTAAATGAGTTAGCATGATTATATATATAATTAATTCCAAACATTCTTATGACAATACCTAACTAAGGGTACTGTTCTCGGGTTAGCTTACTCTCAACTGGGTTAGTTTAATCCCTCCACCGTTAACATTTTCACTCAAACCTTTCCAGATTTTTCCATTGTCTCTCAGACTCTCACACACGCACACACACACACACACACACTCTCTCTCTCTCTCTCTCTCTCACCCGATCACAAAGCCTCCGATACTATTTCTGGCGGTCCAACGACACTTACAATCGGCTGAGAGGGTGTTTTGGATTGCTTTTAAAATAACTTTTTGACTTTTAGCTTTTTGAAAAGGTTAAAAGATTCAAAAGATGTTTGAGAATTAAAAAAGAAAACTTTTCAAAATAAAATTTTGTGAAGAAGGAAAGGACGGCTTTTCAAAAGTCATGAAATTGTATCTTTTTGTGACTTTTGGCATTTTAAAAGGCAAAAAGCATTCAAAAGTTAAGACATATCATCCAAACATTTTTTAAAACCAAATTTTAACTTTTACTCCTTAAAAGAACTTTTATAAAAAGGACCTTTGGCTTTAAAAATGAATCCCAAACACCCCCTAAGACAGGGGCGAAAAATAATCGCTCAGTGCTGCACCGGTACCAACGACCGGCGCCACTCAGGTTAGGATTATCAAAATCCATCGCGCTTTAGATTTCATTTGTTTAATCCGTCCATGACTCTTTTAAGGGTTGTTTGGTAGCCTTTTAATGGATAAATTAAGAGGCAAGCTCTTAATTTTTCAGATTAAGAGTGTTTGGTAGCGTAGGAATAAAAACCTCTCAATTTTATAAAAGTCTCTTAAACTTTCAGACTTGGGCTTGTGTCTGAAAAAGAAAGAACGCGTACTTCCCTCTTTTACCCTCTTACGGATTTCAAAATCACACACCCACCTACAGAAATTCTCTGCCGTCTCCTCCTCCTCCGTCCATCAGCAACGATCGCTCCTCCTACCTCCTCTCGTCGCCGGCCTTCATAAAATCGACCCCTATCACGACTTCCAAAGCTCCGACAACATCGCCCCTTCTCAGACAGCATTCACCGCCTCCGCCAGCACCGCCAACGACGACGGCCTCATGTTGCAGGTAAGTTTTTTGTCCTAAAAATAGATTCTCTGTAAATGGATCGACTGTTCTTCTTTTTTCCCCCTGATAATCAATTCTTATAATTGAAATCGATCGATAACCTCATCAGTCCTCAATTTTTTTATTTTCTTTATATTCGTTATTGATTTTTCTGAGATCGATTTTCTGAATTGAAATTGATTTCCCCATAACCATGGGTTCCCTACTCCACCCAAGTAGTTTCAAGATACTTACAAACTATTACAGGTTGATCACCACGATTGTATAAACATTACATCACGCTGCTTCACCACCAACAACTTTACTTGGGACATTAGGATACATTGCTCCTGGTGAAGATTTATTATATAAATTGATTTCTATTTCTAATCTTGTTTATATTCATTTTATTTGGTTATTGATTTATGTTGCAGAATATACGTTTACAAGCTTGAAAACATGGAGTCTGATGTGTACAGTTATGGGGGTGTGTTGTTGGAGCTCATAACCAGAGGAGGTTGAAAAGATTGTAGATGGTGAGGTTTTTGGTTGATTTCACATTAAAACCTCGTGGGTTTTTAAAATGAAGAGGGTGATGTGGACAAAGAACTCACATAATGATTAAATGGAACATTTATATCAATTTCGATGTTGTTTTTGGTTAATATTGATGTTGTTTTAATGAATTTTGATGTTGTTTATATGAATTTTGGTGTTTTATGATTTTTAATGCTATTTTGGTGGAATGATGGTTATGGTTTTAAAGTGGTAAGGTTGGAAGTACAATGTTGTAATTGGAAAAAATGATGGAGAATGGTAAAATGGTCATTTTTGTTGTTCAGCACAAAAATTCAGAGTATTGGTGCTCTTCGTCGATGTCACCAGAACAGTTGACAATCTTCGGCCTCCACCACCTCCTACTGGACTTCACATTGACACCATTTCACTTTGTTTGTTGCCTCAACAAAAAATGTTTTTTTTTCCTTCGTATCGACCCTTTTTCTATCTTTCCCTCTTCGTTTCTCTAACAAAAAGAAATCTACATCTCGGAATCACTGAGAGCAAAAAGCTAGAGTAGAAAACCACTTCAGAAAAAATTTGAAATGGCAAGAACCCTAAGCTAAACCATTTTTCCTATTACAAATATTGAAATGGAAAACTGATAAGTCACAAAGAATAGGCTATTTAATTTTTCATGCTGGTTATTTACCCCCTTTTGAAATTATTTGCAGCTGTTGTGCCTGATTGTGATTTCCAAAGAAGAAACCCACAACAAAACAGATGCGATGTAAGGTCTCTTTCTATAAAACCTTTTCTCTCTCTGTTCTTTTTTATTTTTGTTAGATTTGTGACAGGTTTATGTTCAGATTCTATTCTGATTGTTGATGTGGATGTTCCAACTCATATAGCACTCCATGTTCATGAATATTAAGTATGCTCCACACAAATTCCATTAAAAAGTTGCATATTATGTGTGGTAGGTTCGAAATAGAAAACAACATCTATGAATTTTTGAATATTTTGTAGATGATTTTGTTCATAATCGGTATCTATTATATCCATATGTATGTATTCATTAGTTTCAGAAGGTATCAATCAAGCATAATTTGCTGGAGAATTATTCCTAAAGGTGAAATTCGTAACAACTCCCTTTTTCTGATGTCTTATTTGGGTTGCAACATCACGTTCTCAAGGACGAATAAAATTGGTACATGACCTTATTTGAAATTTTATCCTTTCTTCTGTCAAAAAACCACTGTCACACTGTAACATACATGTTCAGTTATCGTGTTATGTAATTTAAAAAATGAATAATATAATGAAATATTATATGAATTTGAGCGTTGAGTTCTAATAGATAGTTTTTACTAGAATTGAAGTAAAACTATGTTTAGAATCATTCAGAATGTATTGGAAGTCTTATGAGATTCCAATCAAAAGTCAAATATCGAAATTTAACGAAAATATAAAGTTGGAAAATAAGTAAAATTATATTATTGAAAGTTGTAAAGAATCTCGTTAGAAACATTTAGACGAAAACCTCATCGAAATCCGAGCTATAACGAAGAAGTTATGACTCCTTAAAGTTTCGCGACAGAACCGACACGACACCGAATGACGTAAAAAGTGAGTTTTCGATAAACTACTTTTTAGCCTATATGATCTAAATGAAAGTTGTAGTATTCATTAAACCGAGAATTTTCATAAAAAGAACGTCAAAATCTGACTTCGTATGAGGAAGTTATGATTTTTCTAAGTTTCGGTATAGCAGTAGACAGCTAAAATCTTGAAATAAAGATCGATTGATTTCTAGCCGACACAACCTAAACGAGAATCGAAGGTCTCGTCAATTGTAGTACAACGGTAAAAAGACAGATGAAAACGGACGTCAGATGAAGAAGTTATGAATTTTTAACGGACTTTTCCTGTCCCGACCTGTTAAAAATATAACATTAAAAATAAAGTCAAAATTAGCCGACGCGTGTCCCTCTTCTCTCCAGATCCGAAGAATTTCGCACCTATATAAAGGAGGTGCGAAACCTCCCGGTTTTGGTTGGCAAAATTCACATTTCTACACCCTAAACTTTCTTTTAAGCCACCCCCCCCCCCCCTAAAACCCTGGGATCATACCTAACACCTGAAAAACGTCCCGAAGTGCCCGAAGACCCCGAGAAATTTATCTTTTCGGTTTGAAGCTCAACCCTCGCAAGGCCCAGTTTTCAATAAAGCTCCCGATTTTCA